GGCTGGGAAAATCATTACCACATATATTCATGGTGATGAGAGAGGGTCCTGACTTCTGAGGATCTGGCTTCTTCAGTCATGGGTTCTGGGTCTGAAAATGGCAGTGATCATTACATTTTATCAGGCTCAGTTTCTTGATTCTCCATCCTTTATTTCACTTGACTGTACAGACTGATTACTTCCCCTGTTGTTTGCCCATATTTCTTGTCTTTAGAGACACCATGTTCTATTAATCTCCTTGAAGGATCTCTGAAGCACCTCTTCCCTGTCCCTCTCCCCATCTTCCACTTTAATCTTATTGCTCATTATGGGAACCGAGCTCACCTTGTTTCTGGAGCCATCCTCAGGGAGCCCCAGTCTTGTAAAACTCCCCTACCGTCAGCCTCAGCCTACAGAGGACAGCTACCACAGAGTTTCTTGATGATGCTGGTGCCTCTTTCTAGCACATTCTTTATCGCAGCAGATGATCTTCCAGACTTTCCAATGAAACATAGACAGCTGGTAAGTATTGCAGCCTTACATACTCTACCTATTGTAGTATGCCCAGTTCCCTGAGCCTTTTAACTTCTTATTTTACCTTTTGTCAAGCAATTCTGACATTTTCTGCTTAACATGAGCCATGTATTTCTCTAATCCCCATCTCCAGGCATCCTTGTCAGAGTGTTTAAATCCTGTATCACAAGAGTGTGCTTTCTTTCTTTTCTTTTCTTTTTTCTTTTTTCTTTTTTTTTAAGACAGAATTTCGCTCTTGTTACCCAGGCTGGAGTGCAACGGTGCGATCTCAGCTCATGCAACCTGCACCTCCCGGGTTCAAGTGATTCTCCTACCTCAGCCTCCTGAGTCGCTGGGATTACAGGTGCCTGCCGCTACGCCTGGCTAATTTTTTGTATTTCTAGGAGAGACGGGGTTTCAACATGCTGGCCAGGCTGGCCTCGAACTCCTGACCTCAGGTGAGCCGCCTGCCTCAGTCTCCCAAAGTGCTTGGATTATAGGCATGAGCCACTGTGCCCAGCCAGGAGTGTGCTCCTTTTCAATAAACTCTCTGGTACTCAAATATATGTTCTACCTTCTTGATCCAGCATCCTCAGGGCCTAGTCTCATACATACTGTCCTGGTTCCTACATATACATATAAACTAGGGCCTGTAGTAACTTCAGCGGATGGTTCTTTTCCTCTGTTATCATGCCCAGAATTTCCCCTGTTGGGTTTTTTGGTGACTTAATTCTAGTTATTGGTTTAGTGGATGGGGTAGGGAGAGGAAAAGGTAGGTAGATCCCAAGGCAGAGTCCTAGCTTTAGACTTGGAGGAGTGGGCCACTTTAGCAAGCCCAAGAAATTCAAAGTGATTGGTGTTTGAAGGTGTTTGCGTGCATAAATCAAAATGTTCCCATCCCAAATCTCAGAGTTCTTCTTTCCCAGCAGGATCCTGACCTTGGCATAGCAAACTTGCTGGGATTTAGAATTCAGTCTTAGCTGAAGTTAGGGCCTGATTCTCAGCTGTTTTGCTATAAGGCTTCGAGAAATCTTCTGATGCTCACATTTTCCCTTAAATTTGTCACTAATCACCATCAGCCTTTCATTGTCAATAGCTCCCGGTAATAGCCATTCAATTCCATCATCTCTAGAATTACCACTTCCCCCAGCGTTATAAAGATCTGAGATATAGCACCCACCAGTGCATTCCCTTCTGTCAATATTCCACCCCAGTTCAACACCACTGACGATTTTAACAATCATATTGCTACAACCTGACATATGCTATCATTACTCTGCCAATCACAAGTCATAGGGCCCTCCCTTATTATCAGCAAGGTGGCAGGTAACTCAGTTTCAAAACTCCATTATATGGCTCATGCCTCTAATCCCAGCACTTTGGGAGGCCAAGGTGGGCAGATCACCTGAGGTCAGGAGTTCAAGACCAGCCTGGACAACATGGCGAAACCCAGTGTCTACTAAAAAATACAAAAATTAGCCGGGTGTGGTGGCGGGTGACTGTAATCCCAGCCACTTGGAAGGCTGAGGCAGGGAGAATTGCTTGAACCCAGGAGGCGAAGGTTGCAGTAAGCCAAGATTGCACCACTACACTCCAGCCTGGACAACAGAGCAAGACTCTGCCTCAAAAAGAAAAAGATTCCATTTTAGAGTTTGTGTTCTTGGAACAACTGCTGGTACCCACTGGTGCAGGGCAGATTCCCTAAAAATAGATTCTGAGATGGAGAATTGTATACAAGGTAATTACTGGGTAGTGTTCTCTAGAAAAATGCCTGCACAGGAGTGATATAAGGAGAATTGGACAGAGTAATAGGTTTAAATGCTGTGTGATTGCAACAGAGGCCTCAGTTGGTCTCACAGGGAACTCTTAAGCCAAGATGGCCCTTTATAGAGGCTGCAAGTTGAAGACAGGGGGCCAGGTCTTTGAGGCCTGCACTGAGCAGTCTTTGGATATGGACTTCCCCCAGGGAGAAGATGTGACTTGTGAGAGGCAGCCCCCTGCAGTTAGGACAACTCCCAAGGAAGTATTTAGCTGTGAGCCATCAGCAGTCACTCACCCAGCAGCTGCGGGGATGGATGCCTCAACCCTGAAGGAGGATCCCGGCAGCACCACAGTGTCACAGTGTGCACTACAGGGTGTATTAAATTTCCAGCTTCAGTTGTTGGTTATGTTTTCCTCCCAACATCATGATTTTGAGGCCTATTGTTAGGGACATACTGTATATTTATGATAAATATGTCTTTTCCATCAAACACTCTTATTTATTCCCTTGTGATCTTCTCAAGTTCTAGCTTATCAGATATTAGAATCATTATGTGTATCAGTCAGGGTTCAACCAGAAAAGCAGAACCAGTAGATATTTAAGATACTTGTGGCAAGGAGTTGGCTTGCTCAATTGAGGGGGTGACTAGACGAGTCCAAAGTCCATAAGAGCACCCCATCAGGAAGGGCAGGCTGGAAGCTGTGGTATGCTGATGGAGTTTCTTCTGCATCAGGGAAACCTCAGTTCTTTTTTGAAGGCCTTTTAACTGATTGAATCAGGCCCACCCAAATTATCGAGGATAATCTCCCATACTACTTAGTTCAACTGGGTTCATGGGCTTCAATCTCATCTACAAAATGCCTTTACAGCAACACCTAGATTCGTGTTTACTTGAATAGCAAGAGACTTGTAGCCTAGTCAAGTTGACACATCAAAAGACCATCACACTCCCCAAGTTTCTTTTTTTTTTTGGAGATGGAGTCGGGCTCTTGTCACCCAGGCTGGAGTACATGGAGTGCAGTGGCACGATGTCGGCTCACTGCAACCTCCGCTTCCCGAGTTCAAGCGATTCTCCTGCCTCAGCCTCCTAGGTAGCTGGGATTACAGGCGTGCGCCACCATGCCAGGTTAATTTTTGTACTTTTAGTAGAGACGGGGTTTCACCATGTTGGCCAGGCTGGTCTCAAACTCCTGACTTCAGGTGATCCACCCGCCTCGGCCTCCCAAAGTGCTGGGATTACAGGCGTGAGCCACCGTGCCCGGCCCAACGTTCTTTTTGTTAAAATTTTCCTGGTGTGGTGATATTAAGACTCTTTGACAGTCCTCCCCCAGCCCCACATGATTCTGCTTCCATTTGGTTCTGTGTAGGTTTGTGACTGCTTTGACCAAGAGTCTGACAGAACTGGTGCTAGGTGACTTCCAAAGCCATGTTATAATTGGCCATGGCGCTTCTCTCTTGTTTACTGGAATGCTCACTCTTAGAGCCCAGAGCCACCATGTAATAAGTCCAGCCGCCTGAGTCCTTTATACTGGAGAGACCACATTGAGGCTCTCTGGTCAAATACAAGCCAAGCTCATATTTTAGCCCAACTACTCCCAAGCAGTAGACATGTGAGTGGAAAAGCCATGTTGGAAGCGGTCCCTCCCAGCCATCAAATCATCCCAACGGAGGCTACACACATAATGAGGCAAAGGCCCACCCACTCAGTTCCCCTTTTAAATTCCTCATCACGAAATGTATGAGCATAATAAGGTGATTGTTCTTCAAAACCACTAAGTTTTGGGGTGGTTTGTTAATAGAACAGTAGATAACGGGAACACCTTGAATATGTTTTTCTGTCATTTTATTTTTACAGTGTTTTATGTATTTTTGTTTGTGTCTCTTAGAAATAACAGCTACTCGGGAGGCTGAAACAGGAGAATCGCTTGAGCCCAGGAGGCGGAGGTTGCAGTGAGCCAAGCTCGCACCATTGCACTCCAGCCTGGCGGACAGAGCGAGACTCCGTCTCAAAAGAAAAAAGAAAAGAAAGAAATAACATAGGTTTTTTCCCCCAATCTGAAAGTCTCAGAATCAAATTCCTGAGGAGGAAGTGAGAACCTTTAACAGTTAATATGTATGCACAGTAAAGCCCGAAACCGCACGTTAAGTCTTTCTGCCTTCAGACCCACATCTTCCCTGCCCATTCTTCCTCTAGGTAATCTGGCACCCGGTTTTCTCTGGGTAATTGGCGCGGGGCTTCAACTCCCTGCGCTCCTCCAGCTACTGGCACCTCCCTGGCCTCTTAAGACGTCTACCAGACCTGCGTCTGCCCGGGGAAACTTTGAAGTTCCCTTCGGAACCTCGCAGGCTGACAAGCAAGTCAGAGCGATGGGTGGAGGAGGTTGCCATGGAGACAGGTCCAGGGCCAGAGGCGCGGGAGGGGGAGGCCGAAACTCAGGCTCCGATTGGCTCTGCGGGCGCGCAGCGTTCTCCTGGTGCACATGCGCAGTGACGCCGAGGCGAGGTCGCGGCGAGGCAGAGACGCCGAGGCTTCTGGGCCGGGCTTCTCAGGACCGGGCTGGAACGTGCAGCTCCTGGCGGGGACACTCTGTGCTTTGCAGGGAAGGGAACTGGCGGAGCCCGAGGACCCGCTGCCGCTCAGTACTGAGCCCGCCACGCAGGCGCCTGTGCCAGCGTCGCCATTGTTGCCTGTGGCCTTAGGGCCGCTACGGCTGCCCGTCGGCCGGGTCCCAGCGACAGGTATTGATGTCCGGGCGCAGCGCGCGAGTGTCCGCGCGGTCAGTGACAGCCCGAGTCCGTCCACGCGCGGGCTCCCGTGCTCGTGGCCTGCGGGAGGGCAAAGACGGGGTGGAGGCTGCTGTGGGCCCAGTCCCAGCGTTGCGCGTCGCAGGGTCCCCGATTCCCCCGCTGCCCTCGCCCTCGACCCTGCGGCTGAAGAGGAGTAAGAGGCAGAGGGACTTGGCCGGGAAGGGGAGGCGACAGGAGGCAAGGCAAGGCTGTCGCATCTTCTCTGCAGGGCCTTGTAAACAGTTGTGTTTGGCGGCACGACTGTGCCTGAGCAGGGCTCGGAGCTGGAGCCTGGGGACAGGTGGTGTCGGTTCTCCTCCAGATCAGGCCGGTTCTAAGGTTTCCTTCGAGAATCCTTGTTTCGAATATATCCTTAAAGAACTGTCTCCTGTAGAAGCACTTAAAGGACTTCAAGTCACACCAACCTCTTCACTCTTTTCCAGTCCAACCCGCTGGTCTTCCCAGCCCTCTCTGATAGTGAAAGGCTAGAATCGGCTGGCATTAACATGCAAAGCAGAGAAATGGCTCGCCCTTTCCCCTGACAGTTCCCTTGGGAACCTTGAGCACTGTATTAAGAAGAAATTCTCCTCATTTCTTCCAAGTAACAGATTCGCTCTGTTGTTGTTGAGAGCCAGTTCAGTCATTACAGCTGTAACATCAGTGACTAAAATAGTGAAACTATTTTCTCTATAAAAATGTTTAATTTTTGTTTCAACAGGTTAGAGTTTTAATCTGTTGTTTTGCTTAGATTCTTTGAGTCATTGCCTCTGACACTACCTTTTTAATAGCAGCTCCATCCCCCACCAACCCCAAGCAGATTGCAGTTCCCTTACAAGTCTAAGGATATAGGGGAGGAAGACAAGGTAAAGCTACGCGTGTTCATCTATGCACACTGCGAGTCTGTTTCTGTGTGTGTATATGTATGGTAGAGTACACCAGGGATTCTTGACCTTGTGGTCCATGCTTGTGTTTCAGGGTCTTTTATCCATCCCTGCAAGTTCTGGGCTCAGAATTTGTCACTAAGGCTGCTAACTCTTCCTTGATTCTGTTCTGCCCTCGGCTGCAGCAGCCTTTGATATAGTGTCCTTGTGACTCTAGCATGAGACTTCAAGCAGTTGGCTCACTACTGGAGAAATAAAGGATATTGCCAGATTGACTCTCCTGTCTGTAGCAATGTTAGCCTCAAGCAAGAGGATGAACAGTTCTTCACGTTCCCAAATCCTTCTAAGGTGGAAGTCAGACAAGGCTCAGAGTGGACCCTACAATGTTGAGAAGGAAATCCTTACTTCGAGATTCTTGCGTGACACTGAGACCTGTCGACAGAATTTTAGGAATTTTCCATACCCAGACCTGGCTGGTCCTCGAAAGGCATTGAGTCAACTCCGAGAGCTCTGCCTTAAGTGGCTGAGACCTGAGATTCACTCAAAGGAACAAATTTTGGAGCTGCTGGTGCTGGAGCAATTCCTGACCATCCTGCCTGGTGAGGTTAGGACTTGGGTAAAGTCCCAGTATCCAGAGAGCAGCGAGGAAGCAGTGACTCTGGTGGAGGATTTGACTCAGATTCTAGAAGAGGAAGGTGAGAATCATAGAGCAGAGAGGGGAGGAATCCCTGGGTGGTTAAAGAAGACAACTAGCACATCTGAGCAGCTCCTTTAAAGAAACTGGGGAGAACACTGAGAGGTCCAGGATGCATTTTTTAAAAAGAAAGAAATTGGGGAGAACAAAGGTTAGTGAGTGAGAACAAGGCTTTAACATGAGCTCCATCCATGGTGTTCTCCTTCCAGATTGCTTGGGAGCAAACACACATTATCTAAACCCCCAGGAAAAATGTCTTGAAAGAATGACCAGACACAACCAAATTACCACTGTGTGAGCCCTCAGAAAGTACCTGCAGAGGTTTGCACCATTCTACTAATCATTTGCTTTGTGAATTGAATTTTACAATAAAATACTTCCAAAAAAGGAAGAAAGGGTCTAGAGAACATTCCCTTATTAAGAGATAACTCACAAAATTAATATTCTGTAAGGATTTAGTTAAAATGTGAATTTTGTTCATACTCTTTAAGATTTTTAGAGCAAGCTTGTTTTTGAAGTGTGTTTTGATGTCTTAGGACAAGTCATTGGCCCTTTCGTCTGATGCTTTGAAGTAGGAGTGCTGTTTTTGATTTCCTTCTTACTTCTCAATTTAAGAAAGTGTAGGCATCTATTTGGTGAGGGGTTTCCTAGTCTATTCAAAAAGGACTAATCTCCCTCATGACCTCTTTCTCTTCTCTAGCTCCTCAAAACTCTACCCTTTCCCAAGATACCCCAGAGGAAGACCCCAGAGGAAAACATGCTTTCCAGGCAGGATGGCTAAATGACTTGGTGACCAAAGTGAGTGTGACTGTGTTTTCTGATTTTAAGATGCCTTCTTAGTGTGTGAGGACATTTTCTGACCTGGCCCTATAACTACTGTGCCCCCAGAAGCTCTATCAAGGACTTAAGCTCCAGTTTCTCTCCTATGTTATCTTGGTCTGTTAAGGTAGGTGAATGTACTATAAAGAAAAGGGGCTTCCATTCCCTTCCCTTCCCATATGTCTTTCCTTACTTTGACTTTGTCAGCAATATCACATAGAGGATACAGGATTGACCTCCACAGCCAGATGGATTTAGGTTTTGGTTCCTGGCTCTACCACTGGAACTGCAATTTGGGACAAGATACTTAACCTCTCTTAGCCTGAGTTATTCTACTCTCATAAATAGCATTTACCTCTTAGATTGTGAGTATTAAATATTATGAGACTTGTAGTTAGCCTGGATTAAACAATTAATAGATGATTGTTACTATTATTTTTCCTCATTAACAAGTAGTTAAAGGCCATGCATTCTGTCATATTATTGTTGATCATGAATTTATGTATATTTTTTGAGACAGAATCGCACTTTGTTGCCCAGGCTGAAGTGCAGTGGTGCGATCTTGGTCCACTGCAACCTCTACCTCCTGGGTTCAAGTGATTCTCATGCCACAGCCTCTGGAGTAGCTGGGGTTACAGGTGCGCGCCAACATGCCTGCCTAATTTTTGTATTTTTTATTTTTGTATTTTAGTAGAGACAGGGATTCGCCATGTTGGCCATGCTGGTCTTGAACTCCTGACCTCAGGTGATCCACCCGCGTTGACCTCCCAAAGTGCTGGGATTACAGGTGTGAGCTACCGCGCCCGGCCATGAGTCTGTATTATTTTAAAGAATACTAACTCAAGCTATCTTAAGAGAAAGATTTACTGTAAAAATATAACTGGTTTTTCTGAAATTGGAAAGCCTTTGGTAACCAAGTTAAAATGATTATTCATTGATGATGTGAACATTTACCTGGAAAACCTAACAAAATCAAGGGAAAAACTGTTAGAAACACTAATAGAAAAACTGGATAAAATGACTACAGAAAATGACATGCAAAAATTAATCACATATATACATACATATATGTGAACATATACACATAAAAATTGGATAAATGATAAAATGAAAAAAATGCTTCCAGTATCACACCCCCCCAAAAAATTTAAAATATCTAAAACTAAGCATAGTATAAATATTGTAGTACTTTCATGTCTAATATTTTGTGGAACATGAAAGAAACCTTAAATATTATAAAGTCACCAGTTCTCCCTAAGTTATAAACTTAATACAAGTTTTAAATCCCAATATGATTTAAAAGAAAAAAATTTTTAAGAGATAGGATCTCACTAAATTGCCCAGGCTGGTCTTAAACTTCTGGCCTCAAAGTGATCCTCCTGCCTTGGCTTCCCAAAGTGTTGGGATTATAGGTATGAGCCACTGCACCTAGCCTCCAATATTATTTTTTAAAGATACAATTATATGCAAAAATAAACACATGGCCAGGCGCAGTGGCTTACACCTGTCATCCCAGCACTTTGGGAGGCGGAGGCAGCTGGATCACCTGAGGTCAGGAGTTTGGAGACCGGCCTGGCCAACATGGCAAAACCCTGTCTCTACTAAAAATACAAAAATTAGCTGGGCATGGTGGCATGCGCCTGTAATCCCAGCTACTCGGGAGGTCACTGCACTCCAGCCTGGGCAACAGCAAGACTCTGTCTCAAAAAAAAATAAATAAAAAAGAAATATGTAAGATAATACTATCTTTTTAACAAAAGAAGAGCAAACAAGAAAGGCACTAACCTTACCAGATTGTGAAATGTATTTAACAGTGCAGCAGTTCAACACTGTGATTATTGGTATCTGTTACATTTTTTAAAAGAAAGACTGAATTTAACTATAGAACACATAAAAATATCTTAACATTTTAATTATAATATGTTGGATTTATTCTTAAAGCATAGCTTGAAAAGCAAAACCATTCAACTCTGTGTCATCTGTGTTTAAAATTTAAAACTCAAGTCAGGCATGGTGGATCACTTCTGTAATCTCAACACTTTGGGGAGCTGAGGTGAAGGATGGCTTGAGTTCAGGAGTTTGAGACCAGCCTGGGCAGCATAGCAAAACCCCATCTCTACAAAACAATTTAAAAATTAGCCAACTGTGGTGGTGTGTGCCTGTAGTCCCATCTACTCGGGAGGGTGAGGTGAGAGGATCACTTCTGCCCAGGAGTTCGGGGCTGCAGTGAACAATGGTTGGACCATTGCACTCCAGCCCAGGTGACCAGGCGAGACCCTGTCTCTTTTAAAAAATAATAATAATAAACCTTTTCCTTTTAAAAATGGAGCTGCCACCAATGCATGCACTAGTCCAGCACATGCAACAGAGTGGACCCTGTCTCTTTTAAAAATATTAATAATAAACTTTTTCTTTGTAAAATGGAGCTGCCACCAATGCATGCACGAGTGCCAAGTGAAAATAAATTCTGATCTATTTTCAAACTTCCGTTTAGGGTCATGGAGAGATGCTGTGCGGCTGTCCATATGTCGGGGAAGGGTTTTGACTAGACAACTTCTAGGATCCTACTAAAGCTTAAAATTCTGTGACACTCCCCCAGCATACATACACCCAGTGTCATCCGTGTCCCCTTTGCCATTAGTTCTTGAACTGAGTTGAGTTACACTTGATATTTTAGGAATCGATGACATTCAAAGATGTGGCTGTAGACATCACCCAGGAGGACTGGGAGTTAATGCGTCCTGTGCAGAAGGAATTATACAAGACTGTGACACTACAGAACTATTGGAACATGGTTTCTCTGGGTAAGGATCATCTCTACCCCTCCTCCTCTCAGCCTGTCCCCCCGGGTCTCTTTCCTACACCCGTTGTTAAAAATGGGTTGGCCCTCAGACATGCTTGGCTAAAAATGGGGTCTAGAAATAAATGTTCTTATCTCATTCAAGCACAAGAGTGACTGTTTTACTCCCGTTTCCCAAATGAAAGGTTTTTAAGTGAGAGAACATTAGCAACTGATGCACAGCTTCATAGTGCTGCCACCCGATGCTGCCTTGCCCAGCCTTTGCTACTCTAAAGGAAGGTTTCTTCCTTCACATGTCCTCTTAAGTGGCAGGAAATTGTTATCCTGTCTCGGAAAAGGATAACAACCAACAGCCTAATTCTCTTATTAGATCATGTCCATGAACTATTGTTCTCCTACAGAGGTCTGTTCTCTCAGATAGGTAGAAGTCTGGTAATAAAACTTGGAGCAACTGTTTATCTCCAGGATAAAATTCATTATATTCCTCCTGAACAGGACTTACAGTGTACAGACCAACTGTGATTCCCATGTTGGAAGAACCATGGATGGTGATAAAAGAAATTTTAGAAGGCCCTAGTCCAGGTGAGAAACAGAAAGCACATGAGCTTCTTTGCATTTAAGAATCTATATCCTAAGTGTGGTGAGAGATGCATTTTAAATATGACCAGGTCACTTTTTGCAAAGGCTTTCTAGCCTGTGAAGAACACTGAGCTGTTTGGTGTTGCTTCTTTACAGAGGCCTCTTCAGGAAGAGCTTCCTAAGATCACTATTAACACACTTTTCCCGTGTCTCTTCTCATTTTATCCTTCTACATGACCTCTAGGTCTCATCTCTCAGGGCTTTGTCTAGGGCTTTCATTGTGCCATGTTCCCCTTCCTCTAGATTTAAATATGCATGAATGCCCCCTAAAAATTTAAATGTTAAACCTTCTTCTTTTTGAGTTTCTTTTATTCTGTTCACTGACAAATCCCTACATCCCCCTGCCTTCACTTTTCTAAATCATCCCTTTCTTTTTTATTTTCTAATTACTTTAAAGATAATATATTCACGATTCACAATTTTTAAAAATGTATAAAGCAAAATATATATAAAAATATATATATAAATTACCCACCTGAATACCACATTCACCCAGTTCCTACATCTCCCTAGCATGTGACCACTGTCATTAGAGCATGTCCATGAACCACTGTTTTCCTGTAGAAGTCTGTCCTACCACATAAGTAGAAGTCAGGTAATAAAGTTTGAACAACTGTTGTCTCCAGGATAAAAGTGTGGCAATAAACAGTTGTTAGAGATGTTTATTTTGCTTTGAGTTTTTTGCATGTAAAGTCAATATAAAAATAGTTTTTCTCCATTTTTAATATGAATGGTAGCATACTATACATACTGTTTTGTACCTTGCTTTTTTAACTTAAAAGTATATCTTGAAAAGCCTTCCAAATGAGTATGTAAAGAGCTTCCTCATTTCTTTTTTTATATCTGCATCATATTTTTATTATTGAACTTGTTCCTTAGTCATGGACTTTTTCATTCTCACTCCTTGCTTATTCCCTCCACAGTAACTTCATTTTAAACAATTTCAAACCTACACAGGCACATTACATTAATCACTTATGTACTGTCTACTTGGAATCACTAATTATCATCATTTAGCCACTTTTGCTCTATCTCTCTACAAAGGTTTTTGCACTGAGCCATTTTAATAGACATCATGACAACCCCTAAATACCTTCTAAGAACATGAACATGGCCGGGCGCAGTGGCTCAAGCCTGTAATCCCAGCACTTTGGGAGGCCGAGACGGGCGGATCACGAGGTCAGGAGATCGAGACCATCCTGGCTAACACAGTGAAACCCCGTCTCTACCAAAAAAATACAGAAAACTAGCCGGGCGAGGTGGTGGGCGCCTGTAGTCCCAGCTACTTGGGGGGCTGAGGCAGGAGAATGGCGTGAACCCGGGAGGCGGAGCTAGCAGTGAGCTGAGATCCGGCCACTGCACTCCACCCTGGGCGACTGAGCGAGACTCCGTCTCAAAAAAAAAAAAACGTGAACATTCTTCTACATAAGCATGATACCATTCTCTCACTCTAGGTATTTAACATTTATATAATAGTGTCATCAAATGTATAGTCAAATATTCAGATTTTTCCCAACTGTCCCAAAAATATCCTTTATAGATATTTTTCTCCCCAATACAGGATCCAGTCAGGAATCACATGTTCCACTTGTTTATCTCGTATCTTTAGTACCTTTTAATAGAGAAATGTTCCCCAGCCTTTTTTCTTTTTTAAAAAAAGTCTTTCATGATATTGACATTTTTTAAAGGATCCAAGCCAGTTTTTTTTTATGACCTACAGTTTAGATTTGCCTCATTGTTTCCTAAAGATTAGTCAGTTTAAAGATTTTACCAAGAATATTTGAAAGGTGATACGTATCTTCCATTGCATTTCCTCAGGAGGTACATAGTGGTAATTCATCTCATCATTGGTGATGCTCAGTTTGGTTAAGGTGGTGTCTACAGGATCTCTCCTTTTTAAAGGTGCATTCTTTATGATTAATAAGTAATCTGTGGAGTGATACTTTGAGGTCACATGACTATTCCTCGATAATCTTTTACTTAAAATTTTTAGCATCCATTTGATTATCTTTGCATTGTTATATTGCTGGTTGCAAATGGTGATTTTCGTTTTTGTTGTTTTTGAGATGGAGTTTCACTCTTGTTGCCCAGGCTGGAGTGCAATGGCGTGATCACCTCTCACTGCAACCTCTGCCTCCTGGGTTCAAGCAATTCTCCTGCCTCAGCTTCCAGAGTAGCTGGGGTTAGAAGCATGTGCCACCACACCCAGCTAGTTTTTGTATTTTTAGTAGAGACAGGGTGTCACCATGTTGGCCAGGCTGGTCTCAAACTCCTGACTTCAGGTGATCCACCTGCCTTGGCCTCCCAAAGTACTGAGATTACAGGCGTGAGCCACCATGCCCAGCTGCAAAATGGTGATTTTCTAATTCAGTCATCTTTTCTAAATGATTAACAGCATTCTTCATTAAAGAATAGCTATTTCGGCCGGGTACGCCTGTAATCCCAGCACTTTAGGAGGCCAAGGTGGGCGGATCACGAAGTCAGGAGTTCGAGACCAGCCTGGCCAACACAGTGAAACTCTGTATCTACTGAAAATACAAAAATTACCTGGGTGTGGTGGCGGGTGCCTGTAATCCCAGCTACTTGGGAGGCTGAGGCAGGAGAATCACTTGAACCAGGAGGCGGAGGTTGCAGTGAGCCAAGATTGTGCCACTGCACTCCAGCCTAGGCAACAGAGCTAGACTCCATCTCAAAAAAAACAAAAAAGAATAGCTCTCCTTCCCTCACCCCATTTTTATGTATATACCACTGTGGACTAATGGAAATTTTTAAAATTCAATATATGATTAGTTGGCCAGGCACGGTGGCTCACTCTTGTAATCCCAGCACTTTAGGAGGCCAAGGTAGGTGGATCACTTGAGGTCAGGAGTTTGAGACCAGCCTGGTCAACATGGTAAAACCCTGTCTCTACTAAAAATAATAACAATAATAATAATAATACAAAAATTAGCTGGGCATGGTGGTGCGTGCCTGTAGTCCCAACTACTGGGGAGGCTGAGGAAGGAGAATCGCTTGAACTCGGGAGGTGGAGATTGCAGGGAGCCAAGATTGTGGCACTGCACTCCAGCCTGGGCAACAGAGCGAGACTCCATTTCAAAAAAGAAAAAGGAAAAAAATATATATATGTATGTATATTTATGTATTCCAGTTTTTACATTTTGTTTTGTGTTTTTGATGCTCAATTGTTCCAAATTTGGGCACTCTAGCATCAAACAAAGTCCAGCATCTTTTTGACATGTCCCAATTAGTCTTCATCCATTTCCTTGCTTTCTGGCACTACCAGATGTTCTTTAGGCTCACCTTATGCTCACCTTAGACTTGGGATTTCTCCAAGGAATCCTGATTCATTTTAGTAGGGAATGGTACTTAGAAACCAAGATCTGGGCCATAAGTGTATTCACTGTTTAATGGTATCATTGCTACTGTTCAGTGGATAGAGCTAGGAAGTTTGTGTGTGTGTGTGTGTGTGTGTGTGTGTTTATGCATGTGTACATGTGTGTTAGTTCTTTTAAGTCAGGAGTTCATACTTAAACTCCAATTCAAATCTAACACAACAAGGATATTCCATTTTATATATTCCCATTTTCCATTTTGTATCTCCTGTCTCATGCAGTGAATAACCTAGTTTCCAACATCAGCATATTTAATTATTTGCTGTATCATATGTTACACACAAAAATAGTTTCAAATTTACATCACTATAACAGTCTAGAAAGTTCAAGATTTCTTTGAAGTCCTTTTTGTCCTTAGAATATATACCACTAAGGATAGTGTTTTCTTGCTTTTTAAAATTATTTTTAATTTACATTTTTGAGTATGCGAAAACAGTAACATGGCTGATAACTCAAAAACTATATAGAAAGGTATACATTTCCTTTCCTTCTGCTCTCTTTCCACCTACTCCCTATAGGTAACCATGATCATCAGTTTCTGGTGTATCCTTCCTATGTTTCTCTTTGCAAAAATAAATTATTAATATATTATCTTCTTTTGTATACGAAAGAAGTATACTATGTATATTCTTGCATCTTGCTTTGTTATTCCATTTTTTATTTTATTTTATTATTTTATTTTATTTTATTGCTGTTGTTGAGACAGAGTCTCACTCTGTCACCCAAGCTGGAGTGCAATGGTATGACCATGGCTCACTGCAACCTCTATCTCCTGCATTCAAGTGATCCTTCCACCTCAGCCTCCTGAGTAGCTGGGAGTACAGGTGTGTGCCACCATGCCCAGATAATTTTTGTATTTTTTGCAGAGCAGGGTCTTGCTATGTTTCCCAGACTGGTCTCAATTTCTGGGCTCAAGCGATTCACCTGTCTTGGCCTCCAGTGCTGAGATTACAGGTGTGAGCCATGGCGCCCAGCCATTATTCCATTTTTTAAATCTAAGACACTGACTTCTTATATATCCACCAATATGGATGCTAGTATACAACAGTGAATTAAATAATAATGACAGATATGATATGGCCAGGCACAGTGGCTCACACCTGTAACCCCAACACTTTGGGAGGCTGAGGCAGGCAGATCGCTTGAACTCAGGAATTTGAGACCACCCTGGGCAACACAGTGAAACCTGTCTCTACTAAAAAAAATTTTTTTAATTAACTGGTCGTGGTGATTCATGACTATAGTCCCAGCTTCAGGGAGACTGAAGTGAGAGGATAACTTGAGCCCGGGAGATCAAGGCTGCAGTGAGCCAAGGTCGCACCACTGCATTCCCACTGGGTGAGAGAGTAATACTCTGTCTCAAAAAAAAAAAAAAAAATGCTACCTTAGAGTGAATTGTTTCACTTTTTTAAAAAACTAACTTTGGTCATTAGGTATTTTAAGGGTCATAAACTTTAAAAGCTAATTATTCTCTATAATTTATCGCCTTATATGCCTTAGTTGGCAAAATACAAAATACACCTACAGCACACTAAATTCTCTGGGGAACACATTCTGCACACTCTAGGCACTGAGAAAACATACAGAGTATGGAAATAAGCCTGGATTAGAGTCAGGATAGTCTTCTGGGAGATACTTGCAGTCTGAAGTCACTTCTCAACATGAAGAGTTTTTTAGATCATCAGAGAGCACAAATTTGGGCTCTGAATACTCAAGAAAGGGCAATGTATGGTTATGCATTTGGAGAGGGGGGATTTTTCTCCCTCCGAAGAGCACCAAGACTGAGAAAGACAGTTCCTTTTTTCCTTCTGGACAGTGAGGTTTTGGGGTTTTGTTTTTTTAGCCTAGCCTGTTCTTACATAGTGTGTAGTCCTCTGTTCAAGGGACTCCTGTCAGCCTCCTCTCCTTGGCTGGGCCCCAGCCTTTGTCTTCTAGCCCCAGAATCCCTTGTACCCTCAAAATGGAAGCTTAAGGTCATCAAACATGATTGAAGAGCTATCTCAGGCAGTCAACTTCAGCTATTACTCACTTCTTGCCTTCCTGCTTTTACTTAATTTTTGGCCTGTGAGGATTTTGCTTTCTTGCCAGCTCAGAGATATATAGTAAGTTGAATCTACCTTTAGTTAGGGTACTTCAGGAAGTAGGTTAGTCATACTTCAGGAAATGGAAACTTTGATAATTAACAAACAGAATAGTAGTATTGGTTTGATGGCCATTACTGTCTCAGATCTTTTATAGTTCTTTATGTTTATATTTTATGGTTTATAGTTCTTTATGTTTATACAGTACTTTGCCATTCTTTGAGGCTCATTTCAAATCACACTTCTCCCACTGAAGCTTTCCTTGATTACCTGAGTCAACATTAATCTCCTCTGTTGGGAAATATTACACCACTGTTTGTCCTTTTTAACCAAGAGATAACACTTCTAACCAATCCTTTCTGGTTTTAGTGATAAACACGTATTTAAACCCTGCTTAATGATCTGTTTCAGAAGTTTTGGTAAACTAATTTGTTTAAAAATGTGCATTTATCAGCCGGGCGCAGTGACTCTTGCCTGTAATCCCAGCACTTTGAGAGGCCGAGGCGGGTGGATCACCTGAGGTCAGGAGTTCAAGACCAGCCTGACCAACGTGGAGAAACCCTATCTACTAAAAATACAAAATTAGCCAGGCGTAGTGGCACATGCCTGTAATCTCAGCTACTCAGGAGGCTGAGGCAAGAGAATCGCTTGAACCCGGGAGGTGGAGGTTGTGGTGAGCCGAGATCGCACCATTGCACTCCAACCTGGGCAACGAAAGCAAAACTCCATATCAAAAAAAAAAAGTGTGTTTATAGTAGCAACTTATTCCTGGTCATTATTCAGTCTTTCACTTTAAGTTTGTTAATTATAACTTTAGTACTTTTCAGTTGTATGTACAATCTGTCATAGACTGATACTGATTACATAGAAGTTGAATTCAGCTTCTGATATTATCTCATCTCTTTTTTGTGTGTATACACACCTACTTGTACAGTCCATCCACATTCTCATTTTCTTCTGGGGAGGGGAATAACAAATCCTGGTTTGAGAAAGTTGGTTTATAAATTTTTTTCTTTCATGAAAGTAATATAACTATTTTCTATGTTTCTTTATTACTTTTTATTTTGCTACACCTACTGGAATGGAATATAACTACTTACTAGTAATAAATAGCAACAAAAGTAATATAGCAAATTTATTGAAAATTAGAAACTAGAAACGAAAACCTATGTCATTATTAGCATTTTGGTAATTTTTTTTCCACTTCTGATGTGTTTTCATGCTTGTTATGATACTCTTTTTCATTTAACATTACTCCTAAACATTTTCTTATATAAACTATGATTTTGTATTTGAATAAAAGTAAAAAAAGTAGTTTGTAAATTCAAGCAGTACAAGGAAGCAAATATTAAGTGTACCTCTCTCCTCAGTCATGACCAGGACCTTCTCCCCTTAGATTACGTGTGTGGGTGGGTGGGTGTGTGTGTGTCTGTCTGTCTGTCTGTCTGTGTGTAACACAAATAGCATATCTTTACACAGCTAGGATGTTGCTCTACATTTTTTTATACACCTGCTTTTTTTTTCACTTAATGTATCCTGCACACTTTTTCATGTCAGTGTACCTAGACCTACCTAATTATCAGTTATCAATATTCTGTTATCCCTTATTCTATTAATAACTAGTCCCTTACTGATGATGTAGCTGTCATTTTCAATCACTGCATATTACTCAATTGAATAGATATATTTGTAAAGGTATTATACTGTGATTTGCCTCTTAGAAAGTTTCTGAAATATTTAGTACCATTTTTGCTATATTATAATATATATAAATATATATATTATATTTGATTAAATTACATTATGTAATTCTTGATATTTGCAAGTTATATGTTTCCCACCTGGTTTCAAAGGATAGAGGTTGTAACTTAAATTTTGTGTTAAATAATTATACAAGAAACTTAATAGGCAGCAACAAATACACATTTGACTGCCTTATTACAGCCAGGTTCGATTGAGGGTCAACCTTTTTGGTTTGGTTTGGTTTGGTGTGTGTGTGTTTGGTTATGTGTATGCATGCACATCTGTGTACACTTTGATTTGAGTTCACCTTTTTACATGTTAATGTCATTTATTTTACCATTTCAGTTGAGTCGCCACCATATCCAGAGTCTTGGGCCATTTTTAAAGGAAATGTGTCAGAAGGATAAACTATTTCCAGAATTTGCACCTAGGTTGGAAATATAAGAAATGTACAGAATTGTGAATTACAGTCATGTGCTGCATAATGATTTTTTGGTCAACAACAAATTGCATGTATGACAGTGGTCCCATAAGACAACAATGGAGCATATATAGAAGCCTGATATATAAGCACTTGATATTTGTATTGCAGATCAAGTAGGGGAAATTATTGATATTCAGTAATAGTGCTGGTACATTTAGCTTTCCATGTTTAAAAAAAGAAAATATATGTATATCATCTAGGTTCATATAAGTATACCCTATGATGCTCACACAGGGATGAAATTGACCCAACACCGCATTTCTCAGAACGTATCCTCATTGTTAAGCAATCCATGACTGTACTCATATAAAGCCAAGTTCTGTCATGAGCCCAATACTATATTAGGTTGAACCATATAGGGTTACTGACACTCAGCCATTTTGACTTATAAAAAAAGGCAATTTCCTATATGATTCAACCTAATCTATATTTTATTTTATTTTTTTGAAGACAGGATCTTGCTCTGTCATCCAGGCTAGAGTGCAGTGGGGCGATCATGGCTCACTGCAACCTCCACCTCCCGAGCTCAAGCAATTCTCATGCCTCAGCCTCCCAGGTAGCTGGGACTACAGGCGCACACCACCACATCTGTCTAAATTTTTCTATTTTTAGTAGAGATAGAATTTCGCCATGATGGCCAGGCTGGTCTCGAACTCCTGACCTCAAGTGATCCACCTGCCTTGGCCTCCCAAAGTGCTGGGATTACAGGAGAAAGCTACAGAGCTTGGCCTCTAATCTGTATTTTAAATTCAAAGAAGCATTGTAGAGAGAAATATGAGTTGGACTATAAACAGCTTTTTTAATAGGTGGAGAAGGCATCATAAGAGAAGGCCTAGAGTCTAGGATTAGCATGGCATCTAGAGAATATTATGAAGCGTAGTGGATAACTTTAGGCCGGGTGTGGCAGCCCATACCTGTAACCCTAGCACTTTGGGAGGCTGAGGCAGGCAGACCACCTGAGGCCAGGAGTTTGAAGCCAGCCTGGCCAACATGGTGAAACCGTGTCTCTATTAAAAATACAAAAATTAGCTGGGCATGGTGGTTACTGCCTGTAATCCCAGCTATTCAGGAGTCTGAGGCACGAAAATTACGTGAACCTGGGAGGCAGAGGTTGCAGTAAGCCAAGATGGCACAGAGTCTGTCTCCAAAAAAAAAAAAAAAAATAGCGGATAACTTTAAATTAGGCTGAACATGAGTTGTAGTAGGAGACAGAATAGAATAGAAAGGGCTTAGTTATTCTGGGATTGAATGCCAAGTGGAGGTATTCTAAACTTTTTCACTTTTATAGTTTAAGCCACTAGTCCTAAACTTTGGTAGGTAGCAAAACTGCTGGGTTTAATAAAACAGATTACTCAGCTCTACTGCCAGAGTTTCTGATTCAGTATGTCTGGGTGAGACCCAATAATGTTAACACATTTCTTGATGATAGTGATGCTTATGCTGCTAGTGGGAGGACTACCTTGAAAACCATTGTTTTAGGCTATGGGAGATTTACTAGAGATATTTGAGCATAGAAAGCACTTGGTGAAATTGCTTTAGGAATATTATGTGGAATTGTGCAGAGCAGATTGGAAGAGAGAGTGATGAGAGTCAGCATGTCTACTTTATGAACCCATTACATAAATTAATCCATGAAGCCATCCCAAGTTATCCCACACAGTGTTATCACTGTTTTGGCTCCTCTTAGCTCTGTCACCTGACTTAATCTGTTTTATTCCCTCTGTGTCCATGTTGAATATGAAGAACCTGTCTATTTTCAACAACTTAGTCTCCCTTTTTTTTGCCCTTTTTGTCTCCTTTCCCAAATTTGAAAGGCCATGATGATGACGTTTTCAGAGCTGTTCTCTTTGGGCATTTTATCTATGTTTATTATTTTGTTTCTATTTTGGCAGTTTCCTCTCTCAAAATAAAGACTTTTTATATTTTTTTGATTTCAGAATGGGAAACTAAAGTCCAAGCATGTACTCCAGTGGAGAATATGTCTAAACTCACAAAGGAAGAAACCCAGACCATCAAATTAGAAGACTCATATGACTACAATGATAGATTACAGAGGCGAGCAACAGGTGGCTTCTGGAAATTTCACACTAATGAAAGAGGTTTCAGTTTGAAGTCAGTCCTTTCACAAGAAGATGATCCTACAGAAGAATGTCTTAGTAAATATGATATATATAGAAATAATTTTGAAAAGCATTCAAACCTAATTGTACAGTTTGATACCCAATTAGATAATAAAACTTCTGTGTATAATGAAGGCAGGGCAACCTTCAATCATGTCTCATATGGTATTGTACATAGGAAAATACTTCCTGGAGAGAAGCCTTACAAGTGTAATGTGTGTGGGAAAAAATTTAGGAAATACCCTTCCCTCCTGAAACACCAAAGTACCCATGCCAAAGAGAAATCGTATGAATGTGAAGAATGTGGGAAAGAGTTTAGGCATATTTCATCCCTCATTGCACATCAGAGAATGCACACTGGAGAAAAACCATATGAATGCCACCAGTGTGGTAAAGCCTTCAGCCAGCGTGCACACCTTACTATACATCAGAGAATTCATACTGGAGAGAAACCCTATAAGTGTGATGACTGTGGGAAAGACTTTAGTCAGCGTGCACACCTTACCATCCATCAAAGGACACATACTGGAGAGAAACCATATAAATGCTTGGAATGTGGTAAAACCTTCAGTCACAGTTCATCACTGATTAATCATCAGAGAGTTCATACTGGAGAAAAACCTTATATATGCAATGAATGTGGGAAGACTTTCAGTCAGAGTACACACCTTCTTCAGCATCAAAAAATACATACTGGGAAGAAACCATATAAATGCAATGAATGTTGGAAAGTGTTTAGTCAGAGTACTTACCTTATTCGACATCAGAGAATTCATTCTGGAGAGAAGTGTTATAAATGTAATGAATGTGGAAAAGCCTTTGCTCATTCCTCAACCCTTATTCAACATCAAACCACTCACACTGGAGAGAAATCCTATATATGTAATATATGTGGGAAAGCCTTCAGCCAGAGTGCAAATCTTACTCAACATCATAGAACACATACTGGAGAGAAACCATATAAATGCAGTGTGTGTGGGAAAGCATTCAGCCAGAGTGTGCACCTTACTCAACATCAGAGGATTCATAATGGAGAAAAACCCTTTAAATGCAATATATGTGGGAAAGCATATAGACAAGGTGCAAATCTTACTCAGCATCAAAGGATTCATACTGGAGAGAAACCCTATAAATGTAATGAATGTGGGAAAGCTTTCATTTATTCCTCATCACTTAATCAACATCAGAGAACTCATACTGGAGAGAGACCCTATAAATGTAATGAATGTGATAAGGATTTTAGCCAGAGAACATGCCTTATTCAACACCAGAGAATTCACACAGGAGAGAAACCCTATGCATGTCGTATATGTGGTAAAACCTTCACCCAGAGTACAAACCTTATTCAGCATCAGCGTGTTCATACAGGTGCCAAACATCGTAATTAATGGATAAGGGAAACTTCAATTAGGTTTTACAACTTCATTTCAATTTTATTTTGTGCATTCTGTGTGTCAGAATATTCAGAAGAAATCCGAAGAAGTGCAATATGTTAGATACCACTCAGCAGAAGTATCAGAAGTAGTGGTAGGGATATAACCTATTTAGATTTAATGTGAAATTTAAGAAGGAAACTTGACTTCTTAACCTTTATTTGATATGAGTTTAATTCATTACAGAAAGAAACCCTGTGAAGGGTGTTCAGAAACATAACTCATCAACTCTTTATTTCAAGTACAGTCATCCCTCAGTATACTCGGGGGATTGGTTCCAGGACCACCCATGTATACCAAAATCTACCCATACTCAAGTTGCATGGTCAGCCTGGTGGAACCTGTGTATATGAAAAACCCTACATCTACGCAGGTTTCCCATCCCTGAATAATGTGCTTTCAAACTCTGTTCAGTTGAAAAAAAAAATTCCAGTATACGTGGATCTGTACAGTTCAAATGTGTTGTTCAAGGGTCAACTGTACATCCTGATGAGGCCTTACGAATGTAACTTGGGAAGGTGTCCATCAAGTAGAGATTTCACACCAGAGAGTGATCTTAAAATTACAGAAAAGAGAAAGCTGCTTTCAGGCCTTTTATTCCCAGCTTTGAAGCCTTAAAATATGTAAAGGATTCCTTTCCCTGTTTTACTTCCCCTTCTCCTGTTATGCCATAACTGCCATATGGAGCCAGTAGGTTTGAAAAAAACAGTTGAAAGTATTTTAAAGATTTCTATGTGACCACTGTTTGGTTACACCTTCCCTCACATATCGAAATATTAAAGAGAAGCTTAATGAAATATATGATAGAAACTAATGTGTATATAACATTAGATGTGTAGAGAGTTAGTTAAACAGGCAAAAATTACATGCTCCAAGCTTAAATGAATTTTTAATACACATTAGCCTTGATTTTACTAGGTTTTGACATTCAAGGTCATCCTGAAGGAAAAAAGTAGGTATAAGGTATACAGTTCGCATTTTTTTCATCTGACTCCTAAATTTATACTTTAGATTTCTCTGTGACTGTTTTACTATGGAAAGTTCATTTCTTCCACTTAAACACATTTCTTGAGTGTCTACTATGCTTAGGTCTCAGACTTCCTAATTGGATCCTTTCAAGGCTTGTTACAGTGCTGAAAATCACAGGTGGTTTACACAACAGAAAGATTTCCAGAGCAATGAGAGAGTGAGGATGTGATATTTGGTCATGGGATGAGCATAAGCAACCTGCTAAAATGGGTTGCCAAATGCTACCTACATCCCAAGAGAAGGAAGTGGAAGTAATAGTGTAGCTATATAAATAATGTGAGAAAAATAAATAATGGAGATTAGATTTGAGTTCACTGCAGAATGTGGGTTAGGGGAAAAGGTGAAATTTTAATGGAGTGAGGAAAAAAATACATAGATAATTGCTATAACATGAAATGTAATTGGACTTGCTTTGCCTATGAAATGAGTGGCTAAATAAAAAAGAATTCAGCCTGAATATTAGAAGAAACTAAAAACAAAGTGACTGATTTTTAAGGAATAATTGGAAGCCTGACACTCCCTCATACATGCAAGTAAAATAGAGGTTACTCTTAACATGTCAGGAAAAAATTTAATTGGCAAAAGCATTGATGCAGTAATCATTAAACAATGAAAACTGGATTTGTGGGTCTTAAAAGGAAAACTGGCAGAAATGCAAATAGAAATAGATAAAAATACTATTCTATTTCATATTTACAGCATTCCACTACCAGAATATAAGGCCATATTCTGATAACTGAGATTTCATTGTGCTCATATTTGTTTCTCCAGTCCCTTGCATAATAGTGCATAGTCAATACATGGTTGAATTAATGAATAAATTATATAAATTAGATTTCAGTAATAAAGTAGAATTGACTGGCATGGAGTGAAAGTTGGCATAACTAAAAATACTTTTGTGCATATATCAAAGAAATGGTCAACAAATAACATTTACTTGGGAACTGCTTAAAAGTAGTGAATCAGATTTCATGGGACATCCTTGTACAGGAAGTTTTCCTGAGCTAAATGAGGGGAAATTGATATCAATTCTGGTACTATAAATATCAATTTAAGCTTGTATTAACCATGCAACTTCCTTTGGACATTACTGTTTATAAAACCATCCTACAAACAGGTACTGAAGGAAAGACCCGGGATGCTAGCATCCTAAAGGCTATATTGTTGAGTGTTTTCTTTAAAAAACTTGATTTCCATTTCCCTTACATTAGTTAACCTTGATTTCATAGTATCATCCTGCACAAAGTACAGGTTGCAGAATACTCAAACTGTGCTTATATAGCTATGTTTTTTTAAATAACAGTTGTTTGACCTTATTTTTTTGATGCTGCTTCATCCCTCACACAGCACTTATTTCCCTTGGTTGAGCATGTGGCATGTGACAGTCCATAGCACCTTCCTTTGCATTACTCTGTATTTCCTGCCTTTGTATGTTTTATGTAAATAATGCATTTATAAAATCTTCCACTGATAAACAGGCAATTGATGCCCTTATAAAATAACAGACTAGTAATAGTGGAGAACTCTAGATTTTTGTGTATTTTTCCCACTTTTACAGTTGTCTGACTCACAAATTATTCAACAGTTTTTAGCAAATAGCTTTATTTTCCGGAACTTTTTATTATGAGTTTTCAAATATACAGAAAGGTTTAAAAATAATAAAGTGAACTGTATACCCACCTAGATTTTAAAACTAACATTTTGCCATATTTTTTTTAACCAAACATTGGAAAGGAACTTACAGACATGACATTTCATCGCTAAACACTTAAGCATGCATTGCATAAAAATAAGGATGGTCTTTTACATAACCACAATACATTTACATACCTTTAAAAAAAAAAAAGAACAGTAATTCCCTAATATCTGAACACCTAGTCTGTGTTTAAATTTCCTCTATTGATCCAGTCAGTTTTCACACATAGTATTGATTATTAAATCTGTTTCATCTATCTAGAACAGTCCCCACTTTGGTACTTCTTCTTTAAGAGAGCAGGTCAGTTGTCTTGAAAAACGTCTCACGTTCAGGATTCAACTGACTATTTACATGTGGGTTGTTCTGGTACCCCCTGTAGTTTCCATAAATTAGAAGTTAGGGCAAAAGGCTTGATTGGGTTGTTTAAACATTTTTAATGATAACATCTCACAGATGTATTTCATAGTGCATCATATCAAAAGTCTCATTAATATCAGGTTGAGTCACTATCAATGGATCACTCATTTGAGGTCACCAGATCTTCCCAACATAAAGATAGATTTTCCTATTACAGTTAGTCTGTGTACTGACACTGGCAGCATATGGATATTTTGATTGTCAACAACTTTTTACCTGGTAAAAAGTAACCAACGATGATCCTTGCCTGAATCCATTGTCTCATCAGTGTTTGCAAAATGACAATTTTCTAATTCTATCACTCTACATTTGTTGAGTGGCATTCTTGTATAACCTTCCCTCATCAACTAGGAATGCACTAGAGGCAGAGTCAGGCTCAATTATTTTGCCTTAATTACCAGTGTAGGAGTTTAATTACCAGTAAAGAGTTTGATGCTCTCATCTGCAGTGATAACAAATGATTCAATGTGTTAACAGTCATTTATGATCATTGTTTCTGATGTTCAGATTGTCCCAAATTTGGCCAGGTGGAGCCCTTCAAGTAGCTCTTGTGTCCTTTTGACATTCACTCTCTAGTCTTTGGACACTTGATTGCCTTCTAACACAAGATATCTCAAGTTGACCTTGCATTTTCAATACCCCAGGCATGGAATGAAACCTTTTTCCAAGAATCCCTGGCTCCTTTTAATAGGTAGCTATTTAGACACCAAGATCTGGGCACTAGGCATTCTCACTGCTCCTGGAGTATCACTGACAATTCTTTCCAATCATTCAAGTTGGTTTTCATAAAGACAACTCTTCACTCATGCCATCAGTTATATAATGTCTGTGTGATGAGGGATATAATTACATAACTGGGATAAACTTTCGGGCGCAAACAACTAAATCTTGTTAAGCATGCACCTAAATTGGAGAGAACACTTCCATGTTATGTATGCTAGAAAGCAGCAAATTAGCTGCAAGAGGCCTGTGACAAGGCCATCAGGAAATTTACAAGGGAATAGAGCTTGTCAGTTAATCTGCCAAGTGGGTTGAGGGCAATTAAGAGAGCAACTAGATGTATACCTAATCTGTTGTGTTTTAACTATCACATGTCTTGATAACTTATGGTATTTATAAGCTAATAGCCCTCCTTTCTCATCACATCTCTTAAGGCAGATTTCTAGTAAGATCTGAATATTAATCCTAAGGATCTGTTTCATGCAAATCTAAGTACTAGTTTTTCTTACTAAACCTTTATTTGGTCTCTAAAACTTTAAGGCTGTTACGTTTCATTCTTTGTCTTCTGGTGTCAGTTCACTTGCATGTGCCCGTAAATGTATTCTTACTCCTCTGTTTCTGTTATTCTCCCTATGGCTCTATCTTTCATAAGTATTAGCTCCTTAGAACACTATAACCATTAAAAATGGCAAGCATGTGCACAACAGTGATACATACAAATGTGTAAGTGTGTCAGCACCATCGGGCCCCACACCCTGTATGAATGGGGAAAGTGAAGCCCATGATGCTGAAGTATCTTGCTTGAGGTCATACGTCATATAATGACAGAATAAGGATTGGAACAGCATAGCTCCAGCACTTAAAATTAATTGAGTTCTTCTTGTAAAATAATGTTGAATGGAAATTCTGAGTACAAAGAGTATGTACCTACAATTTTATAAAATTATGTATTTTTATGAGATTAGAGCACTGAAAGTTTTTTAAATCTGTTTTTGTCTTATTTCCCATAGTTTCTTTCTGTTTGTTTTTTGTTTGTTTTGTTTTTTGTTTTAAGGAGCAGAGAGTTTAATAGGCAAGAAGGGGCTAGAAGGAAGGGAGAAGGAAGAAAGAAGCAGCTCCCCTGTACAGAGACAGAAGGAGAAGGGGCTCCAAAGCCGAAAGAGAAGGTCCCCACCTGCCATGGACACCAGCTAGGTATATATGCAAAGGCTGGAGAACACAGTGTTTGATTTGCATAGGGCTCAGGGGATTGGTTTGACTAGGCATGTCTTTACATAGCCAGAGAAAGAGCTGGCCCTCCCACCCTAGTCTTTTAATATGCAAATACGGGGCGCCATGATGTTCTACACACGTGGGGATAGGTGGGGGTGGCCATGTTGCCAGGAACATGTGGGGCAAGGGCAAGAAGGCTGTGGGAATCACCATGTTGCCTTGACCCAGTTTCAAATGGTCTGCATTTGCATATCAAAGGTTGACAGCCTGACTGTAAGAGCCTGGGCTTTACAAGAATCTTTTCTGGAGATGCTTTAAAAAACTAGAACTTCCCAAGGACCCCTTTACCTCTCTATCTGCCTAAAATAATTTCTTAGTAACTCCTACCACATTCCTCCCTGTGGCGATATGACACTAACTGCTGTTAGGGGGTTTTGGGCTACGACTCTTTCTGGCTACTTCCTGCTTTTCAGCAGGAAGTCAAATGGGGACCAGCAGCGAGGGCTCCTCCTGGAGTCAACTTAAGGATCCTCTGGAGACTGGCGTGTCTATATGTGGTTCAGTTTGCAGCATCATTTAGAGTTTGACTGCTTCAAGGTGAGAAGAAAGAGTTTGAGTTATAGTATTGAGTGTACAGGGTCCAAATATCAATACAAGACATATAAGCAAGAGAGGGCTTGATAAAGGGGCTAACCAATTCCATAAAGAAGAATGGAATTCATTAAAGAGGGACTGTAGCCACGCAGGGCTGAAGCTGGCATTTTCCCTGAGCCTGTTAATAATTTTGATTTAGTTTTTAAGTACCTGTAGATTTTCCTCTACTAGAGGTGTTAATCATTACTAAACCCAATAAAAAGTCCTAGCAGAGGCCGGGCGCAGTGGCTCATACCTGTAATCCCAGCACTTTGGGAGGCCAAGGCGGGTGGATCATGAGGTCAGGAGATCAAGACCATCCTGGCTAACACAGTGAAACCCCGTCTACTAAAAATACAAAAAAATTAGGCATGATGGCGGGTGCCTGTAGTCCCAGCTACTCAGGAGGCTGAGGCAGGAGAATGGTGTGAACCCAGGAGATGGAGCTTGCAGTGAGCCAAGAGTGCGTCACTGCACTCCAGCTTGGGCAACAAAGTGAGACTCCATCTCAAAAAAAAAAAAAAAAAAAAAAGTCCTAGCATACTCAGTGATAGTAAAACTTTCATGCTTCCTTTTTGTCAGTAGTTAACTATTATCCCTGCTATAAGGATAATTAAGCAAAATACAACAGCAATGGAAACTCTATGCAATATTTCAGTTAGAAGGTGCTACCATGTATAACCCTATTGCAAATAGTAGAGTGAGTATAGCAACTTCCCCAAGTATGGTGTAGTAGATAACTTCCATGTAAAATTTTACTTGCCAAGATACAGAATTTTCCTTTGGTAGTCTATGAAGCCTTGGTTTTATTTTCCCAAACAAAAAAACCTCTGGGTTATGGGCATCATACTCACTTTCATTACCTGGCAGAATTTGCAGGATAATTGCCCAGAACTAGCATATTGATTCAGATTTTTACATTACCTATCCCTTTTTATTTCTTCCAAACTGGAGGGGATTACCACTTGATTCAGAGGAATAAGCAGGGTTAGTACAAAATGTAGGCAAAAAGTTTAAAAACAATGAGACTAGGATTTAATGAGAAATGTATGCTAAGCTTTGGAGAAATGTATGATAAACTTTGGAGCATAATTTTTCTCTCCAGTCCTCACTTTTGATAAAAACAAATTATGATAGGACTGTGTGTGTTGTCCGTAAACTTTAGTCCTATACATGGCCTGATTATTTGCGTAAAGTGCAGTGAGAAAGGTTATTTCTATACAGGGCTTTTGGATTGGCTTTGATGAAACTGTTCCACAAGGAATCTCAGATAATACCTTTTAAAGCCAAGCCCAGCCATGGGTTTGTATCCTCAAATACCTGTGAGTTGGGTGATCCCCTCCTCCTGAGGTCCCAAGATAAACTCGGAGCTCCCAGACCTGTTAGAAAGTGACATTCTTTACTGACCACATGTTAGGAATCCTGTGTGGGGACTGTGCAGACAAGGTATGAGGCCAGTTCTCCCCAACGGGCTTTTATTGGCTCTGCATGTCAAGCTTCATTCCTTAAAAAGAAACACATCGTTTTCAGTCAAAGCCTTGGTTAAAATAACCAGTTTTTCCAATTGTGTCCTGTTGACAAAGAAAAATGGATTCTTACTGCACTAATGCAAACAGCTATATTGCCATAAGTTAAGAGTACTTAAAACTAGTCTCCAAATTCTAGAGGAACCAGGCAGAGAAAAATAAACACGCTCCAAATTTTGTTCACAGGAGTATACCTTACTCAATTATTAAAGGCCATAAATAGTTTAAAACTTTGACTCTGAAAAACAAAACAAGGATCAGCAATATTCCAAGCAAAGTTAAAAAGTCTGCTTTAACTTTCTGAGTGCAGTCCATTTAGTTAACTCTTGTTTTGCTTGATATTTGTGAACATGTTAGTTCTTTATGAGTCCCGTACATTCCTTCTCTATTCCAGTGTTACAATCTTTAAAGCTATTAAAAACCTGCATTTGAGAACACCTGTTAAACTCCTTAATAGAGCTTGATTATAAACTATTTTTTGAGAAGGAACAAAGCAAGACAACAATTGTCTGCAAATGACAAAATTCTCAGGATAGTTAAAAACATGACTGACAAAGAAGTTTATTTATCTTCATGGTTTACAATAACTTTACCCTTAATTATGATTGATAGCACATACTTAGACATTAGAATCTTAGAAATCCCATACAATTCTGGAACATATATTAGTATTATTCACCAAAATATAACTTAAATAAGATTGGACATCATTTTGGCAATCTCATGTGACTACACATGTCAAATAATCCTGTTTACCTCTTTTCTGAATGTTTCAGGGGCCCTCTGAGCCATCCAAAGAGCCAGGCATCAGGAAGGACAATTTCCAGATTGCCATAAATTATTTTGCCAAAATGATGACTCAAGACAAAAACCTTTCATTAGCCTTTACTATGACATGAAAATCTTGTTCAAAGCAAAATTTTACCCTTGCATTAGTTTATTAATGTTAACCCCAATTTGTTTTTTTGAGATGGAGTTTCATTCTTGTTGCCCAGGCTAGAGTGCAATGGCATGATCTCGGCTCACCGAAATCTTGGCCCACTGCAACCTCAGCTCACCACAACCTCCACCTCCTAGGTTCAAGCGATTCTCCTGCCTCAGCCTCCCAAGTAGCTGGGATTACAGGCATGTACCACCACCCCTGGCTAATTTTGTACCTTTAGTAGAAATGGGGTTTCTCCATGTTTGTCAGCCTGGTCTCAAACTCCTGACCTCAGATGATCTGCCTGCCTCGGCCTCCCAAAGTGCTGGGATTACAGGTGTGAGCCACCACACCCAGCCAAGGTGAAATCTTTACAAACCTTTTATAACCCTTTTACTAAGTGACAGATTGGTGTCTTAAGAACTCCTTGCTATGCTTTTATTTTAATGCTTAGTTTATGAAAAGACCATGTAGATACTATAGGAGAAGATGCTGTAGTGCTTCTACCATGCATTGCAGTGCGAGGCAACCCAAAGCCGATTAGCTTATTTTGTAATTAGCCCATCCCTGATGGGAGTCTCATCTCCCAGTGCGGGGTGAGGATGTTTCCTTATCTTCCAGGTGGCCAAGAGCATCCCTGATTAGTAACTACTATTAGCCATCCCTTACAGTGTATTTTCTACTTAATTATTACACACCAAAGTTTTCTCATAATGCAAAGTAATTTCTGATACCCCAAAAACTCAAAACCATCAGATAATACAATGCAAAACAGAACAGAGCCTTTGATTTTGAGAAGGAACTATTTGCTTTTAATTCCTGGGGTTTCATGAGGAAAACAGAGGGGTTTTTTCCCAAAACGGGGTCTGTGGCGCCTCCTCTGTTTTTCCCAAGGAGTCCCATGCTACCAGAAGTTATCTTAGGGCCTTGTATGCATGCATTAAGAGTAGTAAAACAAAAAATGGAGAAAAATAATTCAGTCGACTGAGATGAGCCTTTTTCCAGAAAAACAAGATTCAAGAAGAGAAAAATCATAAAGGCCTTTTAATGTACCTATAACTTGAATATCCACTTTTAATTAAGCTGAGCACTCTTTAAGAAAATTATTTTAAATCCCTTGTTACTTGACTTTAGTCACACCAAGCAGTTAAGATTTTTGGCTTTTGAACTTTACAATAAGTAACCTCACAGGTGAAACTAAAGAGCTTTAATTAGGTTATGACTTAACCAGGAGTGTAAAAGGTATTTTTAAAGAAGCGACAGGCAGCTTTTTTTTTTTAAGACAGAGTCTCGCTGTCACCCAGGCTGGAGTGTAATGGCATAATCTCGGCTCACTGCAACCTCTGCCTCCTGGGTTCAAGCAGTTCTCCTGCCTCAGCTTCCCGAATAGCTAGGACTACAGTT